GCCGGGCCGGGCCGCCCGCCGTGCTGCGCTGCCTGGGCGCGCAGCGCTTCTCGCTGGCCGGCGCCGCCTTCCCGCCCGACTTCTGCGAGGGCACCTTGCCCTACTCCTACAACCTGTGCGTGGCCGCGCCGGCCCGCGCCGCCGCCGAGGCCGCTTGGCCGCCGCCGCCGCTGCCCATCCTGCCCGCCGGGGATCTTCTGGCCGGGGAGCCCTGCGACAAGCCGAGCCCGAGCAGCAGCGCCGTCCCGGGAGAGCCGCCCACAGACCCCGACGCACCACAGGTCTGTAAACCCACACACCCTTTCTCCCTGAATCTTTCGTATCTCGTTCTGGCGGCAAGGAGCTGTTGTATTTCTTTTTCTTTTTCTCTCCTCGGGCCATTAGTGCTGGTCTGCGTTTTCAGTGATCCCGTGAAATAATCAGAGAGGGTGGATCTTTAGTTTTTGAGAATGAGGGGTATATGACAGGGTTCAGTTGGAGATTTACCCTTCCCGATAGTTTTTTTCTCGATGCTGTGTAATTTGGACCTTGTAAAATGTGGATAAAACCCCCTCTGGGTACTGTTGTTTCGGTGTTGGACGTACGAAGTTTCATATGGCTGTGTTAATATGAAAGTTACACCTCTGTGTGCGTGCTCCCCCATCTTTTGAGTGAAGGCTTCTCTAGAAACTCTTACACTGCTGAGTCGGATAAACTGAGAATCTGAAAGAGGTCTGCACGGGAGCACTAATTCCTCAGGGTACGCACTGTAAGGCCTTTACTGAATAAGTTTTTATAGAAAAATGTCGTGGCTTGAAAATGGAGAGAAATACAGACTTATTCAGAGCTTTCTCGGATATGCAGATTCAAAGTAGCAGGCACCCTTACTATACTGCTGGATTTGTGACCTGTGCGAGTGTTCATGAGTACTTTCCCTACTCCAGAATACTGTTCTGAACTGTTGAAAGGCTGAGGAAAAAGTCTTTGCAATTGGAGGCGGAGTTTCTGCTTCCCTCAGTTAAACTACTACTGCTACTCTACATATGCTAGTCCACATGTGATATTAACAGAGGTTTATATGCATGTTATATCACCAAGATAAAAACATTTTCCCGTGCAGTAGAAACAATGTCAATGATTAAAGCATAGGTAAGCTGGAACAAAGGCGAGATCTCCGTGGAGACTTTGTTCTCCCCGCGAGCTGCCCGTGGGCGAGGCAGGGCGGGCATCTCTCGGCAGCGCTCGGTGCCTGCAGTGCCGGGAGGAGGCTGCGGGCGCCGCTGTTGACCGAGAGGAGCGAGAGGAAGGTCGGAGCGCTGCAGCCCCGCCCGCTGCGGACCGGCTCGATCGCTGGATCGCTGGATCGCTGGATTCCTGGCTCGGCGGCCGGGCGGAACCGCTCTGCAGCGAGGCGGAGAGCCCAGTGGCACCAGCTGGAAGCGGCTGACGGGAGTTTTAGCTTGAGCCAGATCGGTGAGCAGCGGCGGGGATCTGCCGGTGTTGTTGCGGTGCCGGCGGTGCGGCGGCGGTGATGTGCTCGGCGCGGAGGCGCTGGGGCCGGCGGCAGCGAGTCCTGCTCTGGGGCGTCCTGCTGGCGGCCTGGGAGGCGGCGTGGGGGCAGCTGCACTACTCGGTGCCCGAGGAGATGCCCAAGGGCTCGTTCGTGGGCGACGTGGCCAAGGACCTGGGGCTGCAGCTGCCGGAGCCCCCAGACCGTGGTGTCCGAGTTGTCTCTGAAGACAGGACGCAGTATTTTGCTCTGCACGGGAAGACGGGACATTTAGTGACGGCTGAGAGGATCGACAGAGAGCAGCTGTGCCGGCTGGTGGAGAAATGCGTGCTGCGCTGTGAGCTGATAGTGGAGGGGGAAATGAAGTTTTACGAAATCGAAGTAGAAGTCACGGACATCAATGACAACGCGCCCAGCTTCCACGAACCAGAAATAGAACTTAGAACTAGCGAGACGACGGCTCCGGGGTCGCGGTTTCCCCTGGCTGAGGCTCATGACCCGGATTCGGGACAGAATTCCCTGCAGAGCTACGAGCTGAGCGGCGACGAGCACTTCTCGCTGGCCGTGCAGACGGGCCCCGGCGGGGATCAGCGTCCCGAGCTGGTGCTGGCGAAGGCACTGGACCGGGAGGAGGCGGCGTTCCACGAGCTGGTGCTGAGGGCGATGGACGGCGGCGATCCGGCCCGGACGGGCACGGCTCGGATCCGCGTGACGGTGGTGGACGCGAACGACAACGCGCCCGTGTTCAGCCAGGCGGAGTACACGGTGCGTGTGCCGGAGGACGTGCCCGTGGGCTCCGTCCTCGTCACCGTCACGGCCACGGACACTGATGAGGGTCTGTACGGCTACGTGAAATACTCGTTGAAAAAACTGTCGGACATGGCATCGGGTATTTTCCATCTGAACGCTGAGACTGGAGAGATCACGCTAATGAGAAGCCTGGACTTCGAGGAAGGCGACTACTATGAACTTGAAGTGCAGGTGCATGACGGTGGAGGCCTTTTCGACACAGCCAAAGTCACGATCGCAGTTACAGATGTCAATGATAACGCACCTGAGATTTCGGTGCGGTCGGCACTAAATGAGATCTCAGAGGACTCCCCGACGGGGACTGTTGTTGCCCTGCTGCACGTGCAGGACCGAGACTCGGGTGCCAACGGAGAGGTGCGCTGCTCCCTTGACAGGGATGTCCCTTTCCACCTGGAGAACTCGCAGGGCAGCTACTACCGCGTGGTGACAGCGAGAGAGCTGGACCGGGAGCAGCAGTCGGAGTACAACGTGACGGTGCGGGCGTCCGACGGCGGGTGGCCGGCGCTGCAGAGCAGCAGGGTGCTGGCGCTGCGGGTGCTGGACGTGAACGACAACGCGCCGGTGTTCTCGCAGGAGCG